CGGTGGAGCAGAGGCGGTGCAGTGGTCGAGGGTGAGCTCGCGGGCGGTGGAGCAGAGAGGTGCAGTGGTCGAAGGTGAGAATGTAGGAGTCGTCCTTGTTGTTCAGCAGCACTCTTGATGTGGCCCATGTTGACTTTGGGGGACCTTAGGGAGACCACCCAGCATAGGCCGCTAGCTCCCTGGTGGCACAGCCCTTCACGTGTGCCGCGTACTTCTGACACGGCTCTCGCGCGGTCCTGCTACATCCACCCTGTACGACGCCCCGCGTCAGTTGCTAGTGCCGCTTTTTTCTTACTCTGCTCTCCTATGTCACAATACTTATCTGGGAATTAAAAGCTCTAAGAACAGCTTTTAATGTTGTCAGTTTGCTACAAGGGGCAGCATTAATAAAACCCATATAGTTTGACCACTTAGTAAATTTCAGATATGAGGAAAAAATTAGTTGGTTAATATAAAATTCTTCATTTTAGAACCCCCAATTTATATAAATTAAATGCATGAAATTCAACAAGGGAGGGACCAGCAGGTGGCATGGTGGTTAAGGCGCTGAACACTCCCACATGGCCGACCACGGTTCAAGTCCTGAATCTGGTGGCTTGCTTTCTCACTTCCTCTTTCTCTCTTTCTCACCCTCTGTCTCTCTCTGCTCAAACTGAAAACTAAATGAATGAATAAATAAAATAAATAATTGGTTTTTTTAAAAAAAGAAATTCAACAAGGGAGAGATTTTAACTGAATAGCAGTTATTAAAACTTTGTCTTGTATGTAATGATTAAGTGCAGATTTGTGTGTGTGAATTGTGGACATGAATCCATACTCATGATGGATATTACTCCTGATGGCCAGTACTGAAAGAACCAGAGTTCGTATTCTAGACTTTAACTTATTACCAGTAGAAGAATATGCGTTTTCATGTACAGAAGATACATTTCCCCCTTATCCCATGCTGTAGAATATCGACATGTGATGCTGCCGCCAAGAAATGACATCTCCGCTGTCTTCTTCCCTGTTGAAGTTTCTTGGGTATGAGGTCTTCAAAGGAGACATTACAATGATCTGGAAACCAAGAAATTTTAAGAAGTACAGAAGGAATTTCTGAATTACATTGGCAGACATTTTACTCTTTTCAAAATGTGAATCAAGCCACATTGTATAAAGTGCTGCACGTCTAGTGGGATCAATGGGAACTGTTCCGATGCTAGTTAATAATAATCCCAGATGGAGTATTAGCTGTTGAGTTGCCGATATTTCTTAACAATTGAGGACTAAGAAATTACTCAAAGGATCCAGACGATGGCCTTCAGTTTCAAATTACTGTTGAAAATGAGCTATATAAAATAGATGTTAGGGGCCAGCAGGTGGTGTATGATTAAGGTGCTGGACTCCCACATTGTCAACTACAGTTCAAGTCCTAGACCTGCCGGCTTGAAACTCACACTGGGCACTTTTGCAGGCATGCCAAAAATCCCAAGAGGAGAATGGAGAAGGAATTGTGGTATAGCCATCCCTCCTGGGGAGTGATTTTTCATTTTCTCTCTCTACAGCAAGCACACATACTCTACAGCAAAAATCTCTTTAAAAAAATAGTTGTTACAAGATGTTTAAATAGTGACTTTATCTTTTTTTTCAGCTGTAAACTCTTTTCATCAGTCTTAATGTGGAAATTCTGATATAAAATGTGTCAAAGTGGCACTGTCATGGCTTTGCCATGAAGAAAGATGGGAAGTGACACTCACCCATTTGC